AAAATATTTGCATGGACGTCATTGGTGCATTCTGAGAGGATTTAAGAGAGGAGGAGGAGGAGGAAGAAGAAGAAGAAGAAGAAGAAGAAGAAGAAGCTTCCACCACAGCTGTCATCCTAATTTTCTTTTCATCTGCCTAAACTAGTTGCTCTACATCCTCTACCATGTTCTGGTCCCTATTTCTCTTTGCCTTTCTAAATTACTACTCAGGTAAGTGTGCAGAGAAGGGGATAACAGCAGCTTCCACCACAGCTGTCATCCTAATTTTCTTTTCATCTGCCTAAACTAGTTGCTCTACATCCTCTACCATGTTCTGGTCCCTATTTCTCTTTGCCTTTCTAAATTACTACTCAGGTAAGTGTGCAGAGAAGGGGATAACAATGCACTCCTCTTTCTCTCCCCCCCAACTGCAAACATACAGAGCGTTAGTTATAGAAACATGGTGCATTGGTAGCATTTTGGAGAATAGAAAATGAAATCCACACGATGTTTTTCTTCTTCCTGAAAGCACTGAACTAAAGCACCCAGATCAGCACTTCAAGACGCATTATATTTTGGTGGCACTTTGAAAGTATAGAAAATGAATCAAATGTGTGTTGCTTTCTCTTCTCCAAGGGGTCAATTCACAGCCACCATGGGTTCAGCCAGCCTCCCTGTCTGTGTCTCTGGGACAAACAGCAAAAATATCCTTCACGGTCACTGGAAGTGTGAATACTATTTCATGGTACCAAGAGAAATCTGGGGAGGCCCTTCGCTACGTGCACTATGCTGGTGGAAACAGGGGTGACGGGATCCCCGATTGGTTCACGGCTTCTGTCTCGGGAAACATTGGCCATTTAACCATCAGCAGCACCCAGGCCGAAGATGAGGCTTCTTATTACTGTTTAATGTGGCACAGCAGTGCCAGCTCGTTACACGGTGGTATGTTCTGATGGGGAACTGAGACAAAAACTGCCCCTCATCCTCCCCAGCACAGGAACGCACAAGTCATGACAAAGCCTGACCTGATGTGTGACTGAGACTGTTTATAATAAAGACAAGGATCAAGAGATATGCTTCATCTACAGGCTGACCCTTAGAGTCCAAAACCATCCAGCGTCTGTGGAGCAAGGTAGCCAAAATCTTGGCATCAGTCATCTAAAACTGTATTATGAGTTTCCATATAAATTGCAAATTCCTCTCTGAAGACAGAGTCTATGTTCATTTCCCATTACAAAAAAGATAACTTCGTTCACATGTATGTGTATCCTAGTGCATGGGACAAGCAATAATTTCAAAACTGATCAGTGCTTGAGATTGGAGGCCTTCTCCATCTCTTCTCTAAAAAAAGACCAGTCAGCACCGTACTGAAGGGACAGAAATAACCCATTTTCCCACCTCTGGAAACAGGGCTGTGGTGAAGTGGTAGGGAGACCTGATATAGATCATTTGACACCCAGCACTTAAATGTTTGGACTTTGAATTGGGGTTTATGGTTGACTCCAAAGCAGCTGCAAGGCTCCAGGTTGCCAAACACTGAGATACCTGAAGAACAAGCAAGTTTTTTTTCAGTGGGAGTCCCACTTCTATCATGGATGATTGCTCAGACGAGCAGGCTTTGTTTCAATGCTGGAGTCATGAGAAAATTAAGGAAGAATTTGAGAGTTCTGCATTGGTGACCTATGTCAATAGTGTCTTCCCCTGATGAAGAATTGAAGGAAACCTTACAAGCCAACACCTTCTCTTTTCCCTGGTCAGCATCCTCCTTATGCAAATGTGCTCTCTGCTCATTGGCTCCCCGTAGGAAAGGTGTGGTGACCTCAACAAGAAAGGGATGGAAATATTTGCATGGTCTCCCTTGGCAGAGAATTTAAGAAGGGGGAAGATGGTTCCCCCCAGCTCCTTCCAGGCACCCCACTCCTCTTCAAAGCTCAAGATGGCCTGGCCGTTGGTCTTCCTTGCCTGTCTCACTTACTGCTCAGGTAAGGGTGTGGTAGAGATCAAAAAGGCCATCAACCGGTCAGTAAAAGTGGATGGAAATTCTGTTAAATAAATAAATAAATGTTGATCGTGTACTTCTCAAAGGCATGTTTTACCTGGCTGGTGTTTTCCAACTCCAGAAATTATATATGTCAGTCTTCTTCTGCTCTTTCCAAAGGAGTCAATTCACAGCCACCATGGATTCAGCCAGCCTCCCTGTCTGTGTCTCTGGGAGAAACAGCAAACATCTCCTGCACGGTCAGTGGACGTGTGAATAATATTTATTGGTACCAGCAAAAAACTGGGCAGGTCCCTCGCTATGTGCAGTATTCTGCTGGAGGCCGGGGTGCCGGGTTCCCAGATCGATTCACGGCTTCTGTGTCTGGGAACATTGGATATTTAGCCATCAGCGACAGCCAGGCAGAAGACGAGGCTGACTATTACTGTGCGATGTGGCAGAGCAGTGCCAGTTCGTTGCACAGTGGTACATGCTGATGGGGAACTGAGACAAAAACCTCCACTTCTCCTCCCTTGCATAAAAAACCCCCCAAACACTTGAAAGCTAGAGTTGAGCTAAACTCCTTGAGTCAAGAAGTAATAGAAGGAATAGGTTCATCTGGAAGGTGACACATGGGGGAAACCAGAACAAAGTCTTTGGATTTTCCATTTGAAGAGTGTGCCCTAGGTTAGCCTTTTAATTGCATTCATTTCGTCCGGAAGACTTAATTGGTCTTCATTTCCTTTTAAAATAAGCCACAGACATGCAAAACAGGTAACCATTTCAGTTTTTAATCAGATCAACGCTTGAGACTAGAGGATTGGAAACCAATCTGGACCCAACCTGTTCTCTCCACACCACACAGAGAGAGGCGCTTTATATCATGATGCATTATTGCTACTTCTCAGCCTTGCCTCCGCATCCTGGATACCTATGATTACAGCAGAATTTGGGACAATTTGAAGTTTCTAAACTCACATGTATTGCTCCCCAGTTCTTCTCATCTCAATATGAGAGATGGATGAATGTCCTCCTCATGTTCTATGGCATTTTCATTCTTTCAAGCATAACTTTTTTTCATTGTACCCCTGTTTCCATTTGCACAAAACACATCTGCAAGAGAATTCATGCTCACAAAAGACTTGGTACACTAGTCTCTGCAGCGTGCACTTTTAGAAGTATTTTGATAGGTGTATATTCATTCCCCCAAATGAAAAGCTGTTAAGTTTTGGATTAGAAAATAGCCTCATCATAACTGAAGAACAAATTCAGAAACTGAAGGCAGGCTGTCTTGTTTATGGTTGGTAAGGGGGAATGAAAATGCAAACCAAAAGAACACCTCTGTCTGCTACAGCTTGACATTCTCCCTTTGAGCTGAGCCTTGATAAGAAGCACTGGTTAATTCATCTTTTCTGGATCTGCCTAGGTTCTCTTCCCCCACCTTATGCTGAGCTCGCCTTCCTCAAAGTCTTGGCCTCCAGGTAGTACAGCTAAGTTCCCCAGTTGTCCCAAATTCCCATCACTTCTAAGATAAGTAATCTGGTTTCAGCAAAAGAACGGAAAGAACTTGAGATACACTGATCTAAACGAGCATCTAGTTCATCACACTAGAGTGCTCTGTAATTTGATAGACATGGTCTGCCACATACTAACCTTTATGCCCTCCTATGCCCATCTAATGCTCCTACCCCTCCTTTTAGATTCTTTTAGACTCTCGTTTTATTTTTTAGGTCTTCTAGCTTTTCGTAATTTTTCCTTTCGACCCCTTTTAGATCGATACTTTCTATTTTATATCTTTTAGCTTTTCATTATTCTTCTTCTGATGTATTTTCTATGCTTTTTGAATGGACTGTGCCCCACCCTTCTCATGCTGCTCCTTGACTGTAATAAAGATTTGATTTGATTTGAGATACATGCTGAGATATCAGTCAAAGGATTTGGTCTTCTCCAAAACTTAACTATCATGGAGCTTGAAATTCAAGATGAGCCTCATTATTATTGCCTAGGGTAGGATGTTAAAGTCATGACATAGGTGGTATCACCATCAGGTTAGGAAGTAACACCAAAACCCAACTTTTTCAGACTGGTGCCTGGTCTTACCCTTCTGATGCTAGTTTCTGTTGGCTACAGTCTGCTTCCATGGGATCCTACAGCCAGGGAGGTGCTATCATTTCCTGAATGAATGAAAAACAAAGCAACACATGGGATTTGAATGCCTACCCTTAGCTTCTAAGAGAGGTGGAAATATAAGGATGAATGGGTAGCCTGTTTTCTAGTGGCATATTCTTGGTCTTCCTGCCCATGGTGGAGAACTGAAAACTGCTACAAAGCTTAATTTAGTCAATGCTGGAGTGGCCCCTGTCATGCAAATGAAGTAAGAAAATGGTTTATATGCAACCATGGCTGTTTCTTTCCTAGCTTCTCAAGCTTACTTTGGCATCAGATCAATAATAATCTACTTTATAAATTGCATGGAGATGATGAATGGATGGGTCTGTCTTGCTCAGAAGGTTGAGCCTTTGTCTTCTTTGGCGACTGGGATTCAAATAAACGATGACCCCAGTCTTTAGAGCCAGTTTGGTGTAGTGGCTAATGCATCAGGCTAGAACCCAGGAGATGGTGAGTTCTAGTCTCGCCTTAGGTACAAAGCTAGCTGAGTGGCCTTGGGTCAGTCCCTCTCTCTCAGCCCTAGGAAGGAAGCAATGGCAATCCACTTCTGAAAAATCTTGCCAAGAAATCTGCAGGGACTAGGCCAGTAAAAAAAACAACAGCAACCCTGACTTGAAACAGAGACATGTCTGGGTGGGACGGTCACTTTGTTTTGTAGATACAGCAGTGGGGCCATTGCTAGCCACAGCTGCTCTTAGTGGGCTCAGCAGAAACCAGTGCAAACTCCATGGATGGAGATGTATAGCCCAGCCAGGACGCTTCCCAGACTCCTTCTCTGGGTCTCGATCAGGAAATGTGTTACTTCTGACCATCACCAGACCCTTGGTGGAAGAAGACGTTCTTTACTATTGTGGTGTGTAGGTAATACTGAATGGTACCACCTGATTATTCTGATGAGGAAGTAACCCCCAAAACCCTGCCCTGTTTCCTGTTCTTGCTGTCTTTGTTGCTTTAAATAAATCTGAAAAGTTATTATTAACCTCTGCTTCCTTGCTAGTGAAAGTCTGTGAGACAGGCAAAGCTAAGGTTAGAATAAAATTAAGTACACACAAATATGAAAGAGTCATTTTTTTTTTCAAGCTAGCCATCTGTTTTGGTATGTTGATCCATGCCAGGTCTTGTAATGGGGAAAAAGGAATAACCTTGAGGAACAGGAGGAAGAGCGGCTACCAAGGCAACAGTCAGATAAAAGAAACCTGAGTCCAGGCCAGAACTGTAAACTGTGTAAGCGTCTCAGACAAGTCCCTCCCTAGTTCTCATGAAGATAAAATCAAGGAGAGGGGAAGCACATTCAGACTTGCAGGATTCTGTTACTGTAACTTTCTAATAAAAGTAGTACTAGTATGCATGACTTTGCTTTCCTAGCCCTACCTTGAAGGGCTGACAGATATATATAATTTGGGAGGCTGTCATTTTTATTGTAGACTGCTTGTTGAAATCTTCCCTGTTCTCTAGAAGGTTGCTCTGTTTTTTATTTGTTTGTTTTAATTTCTTTTTCTTTTGTTAAGAATTGTATTGAAATTTTTAATAAACATACCGAAAACTAAATACAAGCTAAACTAGATGAAAAAAAGAAAAGTGCAGGAAAAAAAAAGAAAAAAAGAGAAAAGAAAATAATGAAGTGGCTTCCAACCTTCATCACACCAAGCATAAGCTAATATACTAACTTTCCACCCTCTTTTAACATTACAAAAAACAACAACAAAAAGCCCTCTTCTCCCCATAGCCTAACTTTTATCTATATACAATCCAGAAATCACCATCTTTTCGATCTTAGTTCAGCAAAAAGTCCATTAGGCCTTACTGGAAATATCAAACAAATAGTTTATTCCTGATCACTTAGTCCAACTCTATATTCCTTCTTTTTGCTCTTCAGAATCTTGATCTTTGAATCATTCCAATGGAATCGCAGGATTTGATCTTTGATCAATCTTTGGCATTTCAAAGGAGTCTTCAAAGCTTTCACCAGCCTACTTTGTCAATCCCCAAAAGAGGCATTGTCCAGAATTTCTTGTTGCAGCTGTTCCACATCCAGATCCTTCTCTTGATTGGTCTTTTGCATTCCCATTTAGGTCATCTCAATTTTGTTATCTTCCATGCCTTCAAATTCTAAAAGGGCTATGTCAGGTAAAGGTTTTCTGAAATTTTTCTCATCTTCTAAAAAATTATCCATTGAAATCTGTATCCTTTCTGAAATTTTAATTATGAATATCTCAGTCCAATTATCAAAAAAACTCTTTAAGATAAAAAAAAAGTTATAGCCAGCTTAGCCATTTTAACTCTTTTTTGCCTGGTCTTTTAGTTCCCTCTGGTGTCCATCTGCAATCTCCATCAAGCCTCAGTTCCTAATATGAATTTAGTCCCATTTCAGTCATTTTCCTCGAGGATATTATTTAATTACAAACTTGTTTTTCAAATCTCACAGCAAAAGTAACCAATATTCCAAATCTCTCTGGCCTCCTAAACCATTTGAAACTTACTTAAATCAAAATCCTTTACTTATTGATTTGCTTTTTG